GGGGCCAGCAGTAATGGGGTAGGTTTGTGGTGAGGTCACCCATCCAGTTGGATCTAGCCTGAAACCACCCACCCCTCTCACAAGGGCAACCAAGCAAGTGGCCAGCTGGATAATGGCTTTCAGTCACTATGGACGTCGGCTACATTGGAACTGCTACCCTGGAACCCACAGCAAGAGAACAAGATGATTGTGAAATGCCCCTGTGGTGTTTTCTCTGTTTTGAGGGAGGGTCAAAAGATAGGGGGAGGGAGAGGAGAGCTGGGGGTAGGAAGTGCAGGAAGGGGGAGTGGGACAAAGAAGGGGGGGGGGAGTGGATGGGCAGGGTCCCCTGGGATAACTGGGAGAGGGAATCAATCTCAATATATAAAGTACATCATTTTTTTTCGGGGGAGGAAATAAGTGAAGGAGCAGGAAATACACATACACACTACTTCCCCACCCTCCAGCTCCCTCTCTTCAACTACCACAACAGAGTTACTGCGGTGGCTCCTTCATTAGTCCCTTCTGCATGTAAAAGTCTGATGGGGCTGATGCAGTAGTACCTGTGTGCTGGCTTCCTCATATTATTCCTCCTCAGGCAAGTTCATTCTGTGGGATCAAAGTTCAGAAATGAGTGACCAACGGGGCATGGTGGTAACGCACAAGTCTGACCTGAAACAAAACTTAGCAACACATCTTCCCTCAGTGCCCTCTGCTAGCTCCCCCTTGAATATAGGCTCTGTCCTGACTCTCCAGGTTTCCATATGGCTGGCCGTACGACCTGGGGGGGTCATGTCTCTGTGTGACTAAGACCACCCCTGACAGCTACATTCCATGGGAGCTAAGCAGCTCTCAACCAATAGGAGGGGCAGAAGACAGAACGTGCACTGTGGTCAAACTACAACCCTCACTCCCCCCAAGCAACAAGAATCACAGTGGACCTCACTGCATTCAGAATTGAAAGCAAAACTCACCTCTGAACTAGCTTACCCTCCCTAACTCTTCACAGCAGTGTGCACCCACAACAACCAACCAGGCCGGCTCCACGTTTTTGCCGCCCGAAGCTGGGAGGGGGGGGGGGTGGAAGAAGCCCCGATCTGAGGCACTTCAGCAGCAGCTCAGCCGTGCCGCTTCATTCTTCAGTGGCAATTCGGCGGCGGGTCCTTCGCTCCGAGAGGGACTGAAGGACCTGCCACCAAAGACCTGGATGGGCCACCCCAAGCACCTGCTTCCTTTGCTGGTGTCTGGAGCAGCCCTGCAAACAATATACTCTAAACTCATCAAGCTATTTCTCCTACCAATGGGGAAGGAAGAGAGAGATTGTTGGGATTTTCTATTTTCAGATTTAAAATTTATTAAAGTTAATGTTTAAAATTAAATATACACAAGTTAAGAGGGGAGGTACTGTACATTTGGGGTCAGGCTTGAGTTATGAGGGATTATAGGTATTGGTTACAAGGATCACA